AAAGCGTCCTTGCGCCTGAACATCATATAAAGCTCGGGTGTGAGCATACTGAGCTTTTCGAGCTCCTTCTTGGCCACCTTGACCACCTCCAGCTCAGCCTTCTGGTGCTCGTCAAGGCGCTTAGCAACCTCTGCGCCCACTTCAACATCGCTCTCCTTGTTGATCTTGAGCTCTTCATCGTCCATAATGTCCTGCTTGAGCTTCTCGTAGACATCGTCTTCGACAGCATCAAATCTGAGCTTGAGTCCGTGTCCAAGAGTGATCACGTAGCTCTTGTACTTGCTGAGTTCGATCTTGTACTCGTTGGCACGATTTTCGAAATTCAGAGAGACCATTCTGTAGTTGGATGTGCCCTGGAACTTTCTGAAGTGCTTCAAGAAGGTCGTTCTTGTCTGGCTGAAGCTATTGTAATAGCCCTTCAAGCTATTGTAGTACTTAAGCGACAGCAAGAACTGCTTCAGGAAACCGTCGTGCAGAGCATCATCGCCGTTATCAGCAGTGGACAAGTTGCTAATGTAAACACCCTTCGGAAGCTGCTCCCACTTCTGTACGTTTTTGGTTTTCTTGAATCCATCGCCCAAGGCCATGAGCCCGTCGATGTTGGTCCAGCCGTACTCGATCGATGAAACACTCTCCTCCAAAGGTGGAACAGCCGTGATCTTTGAAGCCCAGAAATTACATGTGTTGACGTATTCAGTGGCAACCTCCACGGTACCGGCCTCAAAGATGAACTTCTTGGCGGCCTTCTTGCTCGTCTTGGGGAACGACAAGGACCACTGGATCTTCTCAGAAGATTGTGAAAGCGACAGACGTTCGAGCTGGGCAATGGTGGCACACAAGTTGTAATTACCCATGTTAGCAGCGTTCTTGAGCCAGTTTCCGTCGCCAATATCCTCTTCGTCGTCTTCAACGTCAATGCCGAAGGCAATGCTGTGTTTACGCAACTTCTTCAACTTCTGCTGCTGCTTCTTGATCTGCTTAGGGTCGAAAGAATAAAGCCTGAGCTCACCTTTGGAAACCACGACAAAGTACTCGCTGAACTTGGTGGTGAAGGCATGGTGGTTGTGGCTGGTGCCCACAGTTGTAGACACAGCGGCAGGCTCCTTTGGTGTGCTCTTAAAGAAAGAAAAGAAGCTCAGCTTGCGAGAAGCGATAGAAGAAGCACTCAGAAGGAACCCGCTTGAGGTTTGTTGGACATCCCCGTTGCCGGTGGAGTCCAGCTGGTCATTGTTGATGATTTTGAGCCGCAAAATACCCTCCTTCAAGTATGGGGCACCTTGCAACTCCAACTTCAAATCGTAAGAGTCCTGGAAGTTGGCCACGTCAAAGTCCTCCAACTCCTGTTTCTCATTGTGAGAGGCTTCCAATGTGGGGAGATCGGCGGTCAGGAGCGAGAACTGGTCATCGTTGTTGGACTGCCTGCTGATTATCGACGCTCTGGAGCTCTTGTGGCCCAAACTTGCGTGGCCGTAGTGGCGCAAGTGGTCTAAGGAAGTCCTGTTCTTGAGGTGGGAACGGGGGGTATTGTTGGAGTGCAACACACGCGTGAAACCGACACGAGCGCTGTTTTGACCGAACCCAGCATTGGTGAAAGTGGCTGTAACGTGGGAAACGGTCGAACCACCAGAACGGACCTTCAGAAGCGCCAAGGATTGTCTGCGGTCTGGGTCGGTGGAGTAGTTCGACACGTTGGAGTACTGTCTGCTGAGGTCGTTCTGGAACCCAGAATCGTCTCCGTTGATCTGAGGCAGCTCACCCGAGTTTGCGGAGAAGGTCAGGCGGATAGTATCGGCCACAGAGAAACGGTTTTGGTTGACAGAACGTCTAGGCGACGACTGGGGCGCCAAGTCATTGTTCTTCTTCAAGTAGAGCTCGGCTCTGGCCAAGTCGTCATAGTACAGGTGGAGCTCTCTCTCAATCAGGATCTTCTGTCTCACGGAGAGCTTGCCCGAGGCCTTCTTGTTCAGCTGAAGGAAAGTGGAGAAGGTGTTTCTGACGTAGTCGGACTGGGAGATGGCGTTCTTCTTGCTGATCTCGGTGTTGTGCAAGGCGGTGTTGAGCAAGATCAAGCTGTACAAGATGATGTAGATTTTCTCAAAGTCCTGGGTGCAAAACACGTTGACCGGGTTCTGGCGAATGTACAGCCTCGTGAAGGCCAGGAGAATACGGTCGATCTCCTGCGACTCGCCCTTGAGGTACAACTTGGAGCACAAGGTTCTGGTGGATTTCACCAAGCTGGGGCTCCACGTGAACAAGTCCATGTAGAGCTCTCTGATGGAGGCGGAGTCCTTGTCGTCGGCGGCCAAGAACTGGGTATACTCCTCTGGTTTAATCAGCACGAACTCCTCGTTAAAGAGCTTTTTGGCGATCTCCTTGAGCTCGTCCTCGGCCTCCTTCTCGGGGTCTTCTGAAGCCGAGCTTTCGGAGATGGCCTCCTCGGGGTTAAGCACCACCACCACGGCGTCCTTGGCTTCGGCGGACGAGCCGTTTTCCACCGTTTCCACTGTTGTTTCCCTGGGCAGGTCAGTCTTTGTGGTTTCTCCTTCCTCCTCCTCGGGGCAGGGTGCAGGATTTTCGACTTTTTCGATCCTTTCTGTCCCGTGGAGCGTCTCCAGCAGGTCAGTTTTAGTGAGTGACATGGGATGTTGCAGAAAAAGAAGTGGTAGTTTTTGGTATCAGTGAAGATTCGAGGTACAGGTAGACGACACAGGATGGTGTCAGTGCGGCGCGCGTGTGGGAAAACCTGTGGTGCACGGGTCTAAGGTCTGCTGGGGGGTACCGATTTCGGACGCTGGGGGCCTTTTACGAGATTCTACTATATAAGAGGCCGAGATCCGGGTTGGTTTTGGGAGCAAATTTTTTTTGTAGCTTGCCAATGCTCGTGTGTGGCGGGAAACGTCGGGCTACTGGTCGGCCAAACCGCGCGGCGTAGCCAGCTCAGGAACCTGGGAGGCTACCCGAAAGGCTGAAGGATTTGAAGAATGGGAAAAAAAGGATTTTGTGGAATGGCTGATTATCAAAAATTCACCCTTAACACAAACGCTGCGTTTCTTTTCTTCTCGTATCTGGCGCCTCCGTGGTCGTTGTGGCTTTGACGGTTATCAGACGGTAGCGCAGACGATTGGTCTGGCGCGGCGCGGCTAATTTGCACCCAGACGACAACGGTGTTGTGTTATGGTATTGCGTTCTGCAAAACTTATGTTTTTTGGGATCTTTTTTATTTTTCTGTTGATGGTGATTTCCAGAACCTCCAAATCACTGACGCCCCCTTCGCCCCGTTTCATGTCTGCCGAATTCTCGTTTGCCCAGATCCGGAATGGCCCGCGCATTGTCTCGTGGAATGCGCTTGATCAGGTATGCTAATGGCAAGAAACGGGCTTTTTTCACGCAAGCGGGGCGGATTTTTAGACGAAACGTCCAAATGCAGACGTCAAGCTGATAAGATTTGGGGAGATTTTTGGGAGTTTTTCGGGGATCGAGGTTTTGGTGGATTTCGAAAAATCTCTTTTTCGCCTCAATGCCGGGCCTTGTGCGTCGGAATGCTGCTGGTCCTCAGGGCCACAATGGAGGGTGGTAGTAGGCTCTTGTGCACTATCACATTATGGACGGCGGGGTGAATGGCTGCGATTAGTTGGATGAGGCCAATGGGGGATTTTTTTTTTCGTCAATCCGTGAGAGTTAAGCTGTTCGGTGGGTTGATTTGGATTTTTAAGGTGAAAGTATGGTGGTTGGGAAAAATTTAGGACCACCGCTTTTGGCTAGATTCGTGGATGGGTTCTTTGTTACAAGCCTCGGGGTGGATCAGGAGCCACATTGTGGAAAAGCGCTTTGGTGGGAAGGATCGGTCTAATTCGGGTTCTGGACGATCGTCGTTCTGGAACTCAAGGCAGCTAAATGAAAATTTATTAAGTTTGAAAATCGAGCTTTTCGATGAATTGTGGGTTACTAGTCGTAGATCGATACCGATCCACCATTCTTCACTATCATTGGATCCACAACTACGGGCATCGAGTCTCGGTGAATTTGCAGCCATTCGTCTTTCCTTATTTTCCTCAAAAACCTCCAATTAACCGTATCCTCTTTCCTCCTCGACCAGCAACCAATTTCTGGACCTGCTTTGTCTGCAAAGTCTCGTTGAAGCGCCATTGTTCGAAGCTGTAGCCGCTTTGGGCACTCTTGGTCCTCTCCTATTCGGTACTTCCGAGCTCCGTGGCCGTAGACGAAAAGCTGCCAAGCATCGTGAATCCAGCCTATTTTGGTGAGCTGGTATTTGGGTTGGAAGATGAGTTTGTCAAATGTGTGGACTGAACATTTAAGAAAAGTGATATGGTCTAGGGTTAGATAGTCTCTACAGCTGCAAATGTTCGTGGACTAAGATGGGTAGACGTTAAAGAAATTGCTTGATATACCACCTCTTAGTTAGCCTCATTCCTGCTATGCAAGTGAGCCGTGCTGCTTTGTATGAATCATTTGTATAAGGCAACTCTTGTTTAACCTTTAAATCATTGAAAAAGGGTGGAATCAAGCTGAAGCATCTATTATGAGAAGCAATTTTCAGAAGCATTATCAATTAGAAGTGGACTCTGAATGATTGCAATAGTGAGCATTCAAGAGCTTCCTCGTTCAATAGTATATCTACAGAGTTGCTACCAGTTATCACATTTAGCTGAACGGTGCCTTCCATACTAGGCTCTGTAGTTCCTCTAGACGAGACCATTCGAGTCTTTTGTACTTTTAAAAGAATAAATACTGTGATGGTATGTGTTTCTTGATGCCGTTCTACAAGAGTATAGTAGGTTTCTTAAGCAATCACAGCAAACTATACCCACAATTTCCCAAAATACCGTCGATGAAAATAATGTATCTGTTGACAGATTTTTGGTTTACGGGCTTGATGATATTATTTCTCTTTACGTTTGCGTCCACGTACATCACCACACAGCATGCTTTAAACCATATAAGACAAAAAAACCAGCTCTTCTTTTTTCCCTCCAATTCAAATGTCCTTTGTTTCAAGGTACGACACTGGTGATCGGGAAGAAATCGATGAGCTCGTCGACTTCCTCGATGCCTTTTGGAAAAAAGAACATATAGATGGCCTTGAGAACTACCTCTTGAACGAGCTCCAATTTGCCAATATCGAGTCTCCTGTGGAACTCCGGATGCACGATTCTTACCACATTGCCATTCTTTTATTTTGGGAGGTGTTTGAGCTGAATAGCTTTAACGAAGTGTCTTCAGTCGCTAGAGAAGAGATTGTAGCCCTCTGGGAAAGGTTTATAAAAGTCATAAACATCAAGTCCGTTCTTGAGTTTCTTCCACTAAAACGGTTTCTTCTGATAATGGAAGATACAGGTTCTTTGGAGGTTCTTACAGGAGCGGTGAATATTCTCGCATGGTTGGTATCTGAGGATGAAGGTGAAGAAACATCGGACTTCCTTGATTATACTCAGTTTCTCGGAGAAGTGCTCAAATGGTACTTGACTGAAAATTCGGCTGGTGAATGCGTGGATTCTTTGTTTGAATTGCTTCATGAATGTCTGGATGACGCTTTAGATAAAGCTATTGAGCTCTTGGATAAGTCCATTGATGAGCTACCTCTAGTGTATAATTCTGCCAAGATGGAGAGGTACCATGAAGTATTTGAGATTGTGTTGGATCGAGAACATGAGATTCCAGAATCTCTTCTTCTGATGGTGGTTTGTATGGCTGATTTAGAGGAATTCAGTGAGCAGAATGGTGATCTAGAGACGCTAATAGAATACTACACTGCCTTGTGGGAGATTCTGGAAAAATCACCAAACATGTTCCCCATGCTTGAGTCCAGGATTCGAGCTATATTGGGCTTACTAGAGAGAGGTTTGGATGAGTTATCTGTTGAGCCGAGTCTAGCACGTTTTTTTGAAAAGCTCACAAGTTGTACTAGCCATTATGTCAATCAATGGGCAAAGCAAGAAGATTCCATGAAGCGGATTATTCGAAAACTTAGTTTCAAGGAGCCCCAGCACCTCAAGGTTTTGGAGATTATCAATTACAGCTTCATCGAGGATAAGTGCACATTCTTCAATGATAAGCTCCAGACGTTAGTTCTATCAAAAGATACCGACGCAAGAAGGGCAATTTTGGGGGTTATGAAGGATCCAGAATTTTTTGCTATGTTTGCTAGTAACGGCCAGTTGTCCATGGATGTATTTCGGCAAATGGAGGAGCCTCTACTCCATGAGTACCTTGTTAGCCTATCTCAACACTCCCATTCGTATGAGTATCTTCTTGAAAATACGACAGGAGCAGTGAGGGTGTATTGGAAAATGGTGAAGGGTGACTATAGATGAGGAGCAGAATGAGGTGGTGCATTGCCAAAGTTAATAACTGTCCTACTTATGATGATGCATTTCTGACCGTTTGGGTATGTTGTACATTTGTTAATGCTTTGACGAAGTTTTGAGTTAGGGATCCAAGGTTCTTTATAAATATGACTCTGAGGCATGTGCCTGAATTATTTAGGTAAAAGTCGTTCATTTGATAAAGACTTATTCAAAGATGATACAGGCTTATACTAAGATCAGAGCCCTGCGCTACACCTGATTCTTTGCAAGGACCTCATTCAATTGTTTGTCAGACAGCGAAACGCATAATTTGAATATATACTAAGCAGATAATTTCTTCTTTGAGTCTGATCTTCTTTGCTTTTTCAGTCGACTATTACAGATACCCGATTTGAATGCGGCCATCATCGATCATACTCTAGAAAACTCCCAATAATGAACCTTGAAATCCCACCTACTTTTAAAATTCAACTCCCTATCTTGGTAAAAACTCCAGATCGACCTTTAAAATCTTTGTAGCGAAACTGCAATCAAAAACACATATCAACCTCTTATCACACCTAACCTCCAATGCTCATACACCTCCACATACCCACCTACAAAATGCCCAAATGCCCAAATACCCAATTACCTAACCCTACAATTGCAAATTAATCAAAAGAAAACCACTCATTCATTTTTTCACTTCCTTCCTTATATCTCTATCCCACCCTCTGTGGCTCAGGTACCCTCGAGGTACTACCATGTACCGCGCCTGAGTATCAACATCCACCTACTCCATGCTTCCTTCACCCCAGCTTGATCCAGACACACAGAAGTTTGCAGATCACCTCAATGCTTACCTAAGCGGCGAAACAGACGACACCTATGCGGCGGCAAACTACTACGACTACATCTCGCTCCACAAACACCTTCTCCAATCGGACGATCCATTATGTAATCCTGTGTTGACCACCATCATGCCGTTGCTTTCGAGGATCTTGAACCTGGACCGCTACCACTCCGACTACGTCAAGTTCTTGAGCGATTTCTTGATGCTTGTGCCGATCAAGACAACGTGGGTGTACTTCCCAAAAGACGAAATGATCAAGACATTGGAGTACCCCAGTCCGGTGGACTTGTATACTGCCACGGTGGATATGGTGGCGTGGCGGATCTCTGCTGGCGATCAGGACGCGTTGGACTTTGTGGACAATACGCTGTTTTTGACGAAAGCGCTCCAGAGGTGCTTATCAGACCATTCCATTCCAGCGAGGTTCTGGACAGTGGAGCCTTTGGTGCAGAGCTGTGACGAGAAGCTTTTGGAGGAGCTTGTGGCGGATCTCGTGCACGCGGTGGAGCTCGTGTCCTTGGGATCAGACTGCAACTTGAGCACGAGGTACATGGCCATCACTGAAAGAATCATAGCACGTCGTCTCGATTTGAGCAAGAAAACCTACGATAAGATCACCGAGGTGGTGGAGTTGGACTACTTGGCGGACAACGACCCGTCCGACCCGTTGATGTACGATCTTACGGTTGATTTCTACACTTCCTTGGTGGGTCTTATAGACAAGCTGCACGAGCTCTTCCTACTGCTTCAGCCGGTGTTGCAGACCACGTTGGCTGCGCTAGCGGAGAACTTGAAGAGCAAGGAGTCGTATTTGAGTACCAGCCTTGGAGCTCTTTTCGGCAAGCTCACATACTGCAAGAATGAAGAAATCGTGTCTTGGGCCCAGGAGGAAAAGTCCGTCAACGCCATCCTAGATAGCCTTATTTTGGAGAGCCCCACGCACCGCCAGATCCTCGACTTGATGAATTTTGGCTTCATTCCTGACAAACACAAGTTCTTCAACGACCACTTTGCCAATCGAGAGTTGTCAAGAAGCTCGGATGTGTTGCCCATCATTGCCCACGCTATAGAGGACCCTGAGTTCTTCCGCTTATTTGCAGACTACGACAAGCTCTCCAACAGCGCTTTGTCACAAGTGCAAAAGAACCAGCTCTACGAATTGCTCGAGGTCATCACTCGGTATAACCATTCTGCTACCTACCTTTTAAGCGAGATGCCTACGGTGGTGCTGACATACTTGGTGGAAGTTCCTGGTGACATTTCCCACCCATTGATTGGGAAGCATCTTCGCTCTGCTCTTGAAAACCTCATAACAAACAAGGACCTCGATCTAGGAGTGTGGGAACAAGGCCTCAAGAGCCTGCTACATAGTTTGGTCAATGGGCGCCCTAAAGGGCCCCAGGTTGATGTCCAGGACAAAGCATTTTGATTTATAGGCAATTTACCCAGGCGTTTCCGCAGATACACGTTCTTTGAAACACCATGGTCCAGATACCAAAGCCGCCCGGTCCATCGAAGATAGACGGATCAGCGACCAATGATACTGCTCTGCATCTTGTACACTTTCTGATTTTGTTCTTCAGTGAATATCCCTTGCCCATAGCCGAGGCGCCGCCTGATTTGACCGTAGGTCCAGCGTTGATGACAATCTTCCGGAGAGTGTCGACAACCTCGTTTTCTGAGTATCGGAGGCGGGGGATCATGGGTTTGAAATGCTCTTCCAACGGCACATATGGCTTCCCAAATTCTTTTCGGGAAATGCCAACGTCAATCCAGTCATTTTGATAGAAATACAAATCTGCGAGCTTCAAGTCTCTGCTTATGGTAGCTGAGTGACGCTCTATTAAAACATTGGCCATGTATTTGACCTCATCAGGAACAAATCCCCGACAAAATAGCTGCTGTTCCAATTTGAGCAGCTGAGCACGGTCGTTGGAAACAATGTTATTGAGCTCCTTGTTAACATAAACCTCACATTCACGGAGGAAGTTTTCAAAGAGACCAAGGTTAAGTGGCAGCGAGTTGCATGCTGTGAAGAAACGGTTGAGTGCCTCCTTCATTGGTGTGTAAAGCTTGTTGCTCTCCGTGAGCTCTTTGTAAAGCTTTTTCAAGATCTCGTGGGTCTTTCCAATGGAGGAAAGCGAGTACATAAGGAAAAGGCGTGGCACCTTACCTAGTATGACGGGAAGTACCACTGAATTATCCACAGTAACTTTAGACTGTTCGGGGTTATTTTTGGAGAATGCAAGTTGAAGAAGCTCCTGATTGAAGTAAACAATCAAGTCAATAAGCCAGCGAATGTTTCCCACCAACAGCATTATACATTCAGCACGACTCACGGAATCTTGCAAGAGGTCCTCGGCAGGCTTCTTTTTCGACATTTGTCTGTAGATACTGGAAAGCGAAAACATAATGCCAAAACTGGTGGACCTCAAGTTGAGCACAATCCAAGCCATATCTTTGATGGCCTTATTTTTAGTGTGAAGCTCGCCAAGCACAAGCTGAAGTGAAAGAAGTCTCTGGAGAGGTGGGTTCGAAAGAAGCTTGTCAACAGACTCCTTCCCAAACGAATTAAGCTGAAAGTTTATCGCTTTGTGTGACTCTGTCATTGCCAAATCGACAAGATGACCAGCGAGCTCTGGCTGCTCGAGTTCGGTCTTGAAAAGCTCGTTTCGAAGCATCACCAAAAGGTCGTCAGACGATGTGGTGGAGTAGCAGGCACACGCATGCATGTAGGCAAAGCCAATGCCACATAGCAGAACACTCTTGGTACTGCTGCGCTCAAGAGGCCTGAATTGAAGCTGTCCGTTTTCGTAGTGAACGAATGCAGCCATGTTGGGAGAAACAGCTAGCAAGGCAGGAGAAGGCCCTAGTTCAGGAAACAGGAATCCACAGTCTAGAAGAGATGTGATGGTGCTGGGGTATGTTGTCTGTTCCTGACCTTCAATCTTGAGATCCAGCAGCGGCACAAGCTCCCACGTCTCTCTGTTGACGGCATCGATGGTGCCGTCTGTATAAATAAAAAGAAGCAAGCTCTCTGAGATGGCCGTTTCTATCTGCTGGACCTGCTTCGATAGACTTATATGGCCCTGTAGCACAAGCCTCAAAAGACCTTCTCGAGAATCAGTGGCATTGGCGTCTCCCATGCTATCAAACAAATCGCCCACGCTATCCATGGCGTTCTCCAAATTATACCTGTACGCCAGCGTGTAGGGCTGGCTGCCCACGGGGTTCATGCACTCGTACGTTATGAGAATCTCCAAGTTGGAGCTCTGCTGGAAGTACGGGGAAAATAGCTCGATCAGCTTAAGTGTCTGCTGAACCACCTCAGGCTTTCCAAAGGCCTTTTCCTCGCCAAAATCACACGACGCCGTAGGTTCAGGCCTCATTTCATGCACCAACGCACACAGTAGCAGCGGAGGGGTCTGGCTATCCTTGGGTGTGTGGTAATGAGGATCTGAGCGTTGTCTCTGAGCAGATTCCACAAGAAATCCCCAATCAATGCTGATGACGTAGGTCAACACGAGGTCTGAGCGGGCGTCGTACGCCACCACGACAATCTTCTTGTCGCTGTTGAAGCCCACGGCTGCCTTGGTGAACGTGCAGCTGCCTTCCCTGCCGTCAGGCGCCAAATTGTACGCCAACTTGTGGTACTCCACCTTGTGCTCGCCCTGGTAGTACAAGCTGAAAAGGCCGTCCTGGCGTACAGCCACACAGGCCTGCTTTGTCGGAATCGGGTGGCTGGTTCCTGGAGGATGGTGCTGGGTCACTCCATAGGCGTAATTGGCCACACCATTTTCTTCACCCATGAGCGTCGCCGGCTTGTTCACAATCTGCGGCTTCTCGATGTTCAACCACTCAAACGCCACACACTTGGTGTGGGCCTGCGGCGGCGCAATGTCTCTGTAGATCATCTCGGTGTGGTTGTAGCTGGTGAGTTCGTAGGAGGGCCCGTCGCCCCGGGGCAGGCCATTGGGGTTCAAGTCCTTGGCGCCGTTGGACGTCTTGGATCCGTTCGCCCGGTGCCCGTTGGCCTCCTCCGTCTTCTTATCGTTGATCAAGCCCACCCCAGCGAGCAAAATGAAGAAGTTGCCCTTCACGTCCCAGACGGCCAAATCGGTCAGAAGATTGCTCCAGCGGAGCCGCTCGATCTCCGACACCACGCCGTCGTCCAGCGGCTTGAGCGTGAGCGGGGTTGTTTTCGCCAATTGCCAGTCCTTGCCGTTGGTGTTCTCCAAGTACGTGAGACACATGTTGTGGCCCGAGCTCGGCTCCGGATGTGCGTATGTGATGAAGCCGTACTTTGACCATGAGATGGCGGAGGACTGCGGTTTGGGCGGTGTGGGCGGGGGATCTCGAGATACTGGCATGGTGGAGGAGTTGTAGATTAATGAGTAGTTGATGCGCGATAGATCTGACAGGTGGGTGTCTGGAGGGGTGTACGCTATTTTGGTGGGGTGGTGATTTTTGGGCGGTTTGAATTTTTGAGTTTGGTGAAGGTGGTGGAAAGGTGGGCTTTGGATGGTTTTTATATTTGTTTCGGGTGTTTGGGTTGATTTTGGTGTGACCGTTGGAGACCGTTGTGGCAGGCATTTCGCAGCCATATGCGATTACGGACCGGAGTAGGTGGGCATGTGGATTGGTTGATTAATATGGAGAGAGGGGGGATATTGGGTATGTTTTTTGCAATGTTGCTGTAGTTTGGTGGGTTTTTTCGAATTTAGGGAAGACGGGTTGGGTGGGGCATGGGTTATTGGTTTATCTGGTAGGGTTCATTGGCCCTGCAGTGAGGGCATACGGATAGGCGATGGAGTGGTGGATTAAGAGGGATGAAAGAGAGATTTTTTTATATTCTTGTTGAGTTGTGAATGATTGTTGATTTGAACTCCTTCTGACATGTTTTTAACTAGGGCGTTTTTTGATGCCTTTTACTGTGTTGTACCAACCTGGAGGCTTGTAGGGCGGTAACGGTGATGCTGGAGATCATGTTCGATATTCATGGCACCCAATATGGCAGCCAGTTGATAATCTGATATTGTTTGTTGAAGAGAGATTTTTTTTTTTTTTTGTTGAATGAAAGATCAGTTCAGGTTGTAAATTTGGCGATTCTTATGGTCCCATTACAAGGACTTCAATATCTGAACCCTTGAGACTGAATGGCCAAACATACATATGCGGCAAGATTGCCTAACTATACATTTTGACTATTCTGACGTCATTTTAGTGAATCTCTGCTTGAGCGGTTTTTTGACTCATTTGAACCTTATATTTATTTCTTCGTATTCTGCCTACTTCGTCAGCTACTTCATCAGCTGCAAACATGAATGGAGAACACACCAGACTCGCCAATTGCCAAAACACAAGCACAAAGCACCATATTTCGAAAAATCAAATCTCCATCACCAACCGATATCATCATCATTCGAAAAATTAAACCTCCTTCACCAACGATACCACCCACCCCAAATCTCCAACTCCCACTCCCCGTGGGACTACACCCTCTCACACTGATTATTTATTCATCGCCTACCACCTACAAGTCACCGGGAACTGGGAACTGGGCAGCCCAGGCCTGCACCTCGGCGTCCAACGCCTTCACCTCCTCCGACTGCTCCACAATCTGCTTGAAGCTGGCCATCAACTCCTTGGCCACACTGCCCTGCTCTTGTGCCTTCAACTTGATGGCAATGTCCACGGCCTTCTGGAAGTACTCGGCCACCTTGGCAAACTCCTCAGGTCCGAAACCTCTGGTGGTCATGGCGGGAGTACCCACTCTCAAACCACTAGGGAAAAGAGCAGACTTGTCGCCGGGAACGGTGTTCTTGTTGGCGGCAATGTTCACGTGCTCCAACACTTTTTCAACACGGGCTCCGTCGATCTTCTTGGAACGGAGGTCCACGAGAATCAAGTGGGTGTCGGTACCTTTGGAAACCAAATCGAAGCCCTTGTCCTCCAAAGCAGCAGCAAAGGCCTTGGCGTTGTCCACAACCTCCTGCTGGTACTGCTTGTACTCAGGGTACTGGCACTGCTTCAAGGCGACAGCCAAGGCAGAAATGGTGTGGTTGTGTGGACCACCCTGGTGGGCAGGGAAGACGGAAAAGTTGATCTTTCTCTCGAGATCGTACGGAATCTCCTTGCCCTTCTTGGTCACCTTTCTGATGCCCTTTCTGAAGAAAATCATGGCTCCACGGGGTCCTCTCAAGGACTTGTGCGTGGTGGTGGTGACAATGTCCGAGTATGGGAATGGAGAAGCAGTGACGCCAGCCAGCACCAAACCGGAAATGTGGGCCATGTCGGACAAAATGTACGCTCCGACCTTGTCGGCGATTTCACGCATGCGCTTGTAGTCAATGACTCTGGAGTAGGCAGAGGCACCAGCGACAATGACCTTGGGTCTGAACAAGAGGGCGTTCTTCTCCAAGGTGTCGTAGTCAATGAGACCGGTCTCCTCGTCCAAACGGTACGGCATCGTCTGGAAGTACTTGGAGATGTAGGAGATTTTGGCATTGGGGGTCTGGTAACCGTGGGAAAGGTGGCCTCCGTGGGGCAAGTCCAAACCCATGATTCTGTCGCCAACCTCCAAAATGGCACTGTAGGCGTACAAGTTGGCAGGAGCTCCAGACAATGGCTGGACATTGACACCCCACTGCTCGGGGTCCAAGTCAAAAGCTTCCAAAGCACGCTGTCTACACAAGGATTCAGCCTTGTCGATGATCTCGTTACCACCATAGTATCTCTCGCCAGGGTAACCCTCGGAGTACTTGTTCTGCATCTCCGAGCCCAACAAGTCCATGACGGCCTTGGAGGTGAAGTTCTCCGATGGGATCAAGGTGATGGAGTTTCTCTGTCTGTCTCTCTCTTGCTGCAAAATGGAGGCCATCTCAGGGTCGACTTCCTGGACCAGCTTGGAGATGAGGCCCTGGGCCTTGGCCAGAAGGGCGTAGGTGCGGACGCTGAGCGTCTGGCGCTGGAGAGCACGGAACGAACGGGAGAGCATGCCGGGTGGGTTGGGGACAGGTGGGAAAGGCTTGTTCTTATAGTTTTGGGGGGATGAAAAAATTCCTGACTCACGACCGGGCGGCGCACGTGACATCTGCGTGACTTGGCCGCTAGTGAAGCGGCGAGTTCCGAGGGCGCCGCCGGTCGCGGGCCGACTCCGAAACCTGGGGTGGTCAGAGTCAGCAGCGAGTCAATGTGGGGCAGGTCCATTTGACTGCCCCCAGGGTGTATTCCGTTCTCGAGGGTGAGGTGGTTTGACTCTGGAGGGTTCAGGTTGGCCCCGGTCTGCCTTGTTAAGATCTGCCAGTGAGTGGGGTCCACAATGGGTTGGTCCATTGTGGGCCCATGGTGGGCACAAAGTGGCTAGACGACTTTTTTTTTTTTCTTATTTATTGACTTATTTGGTTTTTGGAACTGATAGTTGTGTGGTTTTAGTTTCTGCTGAATCCATGGCACATGTCAATTGGATGTGTTTCTGTGGTGGGTAGGCCATGTGGATATGGCTGCGAAGGCTGGACGGTGGGTTTTCGGCAAAATCCACCAATCCGGATGCAAAACATGTTTTTGGGCAAATTAGGCATGAGATTGTATTTCTGTAAGCCATTGAGGTGTTTTTATGCATTTTGGTGCCATGCTATGTGGGTGAAGTTTGGCTGGTGTAGGCTGATGTGGACGTATTCAGGTGTGAGCGATTTCTCATGAACAAGAGTCTTTGAGACATGGAGGCAAAGTCAAAAGGGGGGTTTTTTGATGGAGAAAGTTTGTGAAGCCATTTGGAGAAAAAGTATGGGGTTTCTGATTTTTTGGATGTTCGTGAAGATTTACTGTTTTGTCCTTTTCGCAGCCACTGACCAAATATCCAGATCCTCTGCAAAGTTCTCAGCAGAAGTCAATCATGTGAATGCATTATATGAAATAAACTAACCCAGTACCTCTGTCATAAGAACTTAGATGATAAAAGTATTGAAGTATTGCAATTTTCCGGTCCCAACCGGTTTCTACATCTCTTTCTCTCCAATACTGTTACATGTCTATTACCTCCCCAGAATTCTACATCGTCAATATCTACATCGTCAATACCCCAGTTCCATGAACAACCGGTGCTCATGCCCACAACTCTTCTCCCCATGACACCAGGGGAGCTTCCTATAAAACGCCTGCCCCTGCAAAACCTCTATGGAAAACCGCTCCAACGGATCCACAGCCAAAAGACTCGAAACCAAGTCCTTCAAACGACCGGGAAGCACCAGCAAAACGTCCTCGCCGCCTCCAACCCACAGCATGTACCGCTCATCACTCAAATGGGCCGTTTTCCATAGAAACCGTTTGGTTGCAAAATACACCAAAACCACCCCTAGCGACCAAACATCCGCTTTTTTACCGTCGTACTTGATCAGAGACACCATCTCAGGAGCCATGTACTTTGGCGAGCCCACAATGCCAATAGCGGAATCGCTTTCCGTGACCGTAGCCATATCCACAACCTTCAACCGCCCCGTTTCCAGCAACACCATATTTTCAAGTTTGATATCACGATGAGCCAATCCCCGGCCGTGGAGGTACGCAATGGCACAAACAAGCTGTTTCCAGTAGCACAAATTCTCAGCCACAGAGAAGTCTCCCTGCTTTTGTTGTCGTAGAAGCCTAGCCATATCCATCAGTCCCGCTTCCATGTACATGCTGACGGTCAGGCCGGTCCAGGAGATGGTGTATTTTTGCGGAACATAGAAGCCCTCGTGATCAAGCAGCTTCAAAAGCTCATACTCGTACAAGACCCTGGCGTGGTACTCTTTGCGCAGTTCATGGGGTTCTTTTTCATGGTAAGTCTTGACTGCGTACTTGGCGCCACGGGAGGTTTTCCAGATTTCCACTGATCCGCTGACGCCTGCTGCAGGTCGATAGACGAGCGTATCTCGAGAGAACATGGGGCAAATTAGGTGGATTCAGGTGGATTGGGCATGTTCTGAAGAACAGTGGGTAGTTGATAGCGGCTAGGTACAGGTCGGGGCGATGGGGTGAAAAAGGTGGAGGAAGTAGAGGTGGAGAAATAGATATTTAGATCACTTTTGGAATACAGATTCAATGGAGTGGAAATGGGAATCTGAATTGTGCTGGATTTGTGGAGATGTCGATGGGTAGTGGAAACAATGGGCTGAAAGATCGTTTAGATAGTGCCATAAGCCACTGCGATCGGATGCCAATGTCACTAGGGCTATGGCATTTTAACTTTCTTCACATTCCTCACTTCAATTCAAAGGACAGCCAAGTAGAGTGTTTACGTTGTACTTCTCCTCTTTACGAATTGAGAGGAATTGTGCTGGAACCTATCGTGTAACTGTACCACAGAGTATGGGAATGCTACCAGCCATGTCGATCAACATCCACAGCAGGGCTCCACAAACACCAGCCAGCTTCATATTATCATTCACAAACACGAAAATCACCATTCCATCCCCTCCTCTCAAATCCCTCAAAGGTACCACATTCTCGTATCACTCATCAGCCCACTACAGAAATGCTTTCGCAGCCATCTACAGACACATTTCACATGAGACACCGAGCCATAAACGCCAATGCAAAGCGTCATACAAAGAGAAACAATACAAAAAGGCCCAATTCCACTCCAAAAACAGCCCCGGCTTATCGCCGAATACTCCGAGCTGGTTGCCACTGCCTTCCACAAATGACGTCTCCACATGGCTGCAACACGACTTATCTGGCGCCTTGGCATCCATAGTACCAGCATCAATTCGAAAACCTCAGAGCCCTCAAATCCCCAAAATCCCAATACCCCAAAACAAATTCAAAATAATGCAACTTCAATATTCAATTGAGCAACCAAGAATAAAAGCCGTTGGGTCTGGACCATATAGCCGCACAGCCATGGCACTGCGGTACTCTGCCACACACGCACGCAACGGAAGCCGTTTTCGAGCACCACCTTCGCGGCTGAACTAACCACAATGACTTTTTTTTTAGCAAGGAATAATTTGATTCTTTGGTTTTGGAATTTGGTGAAATGGCCTTCCTCTGACTGTCGGAGGTACGGGTGTGCCGCACCCCAAAAGCAGCTGGCTTTGGCCCTTATCAGGACGTCACCATACCGGTTAAACGTCCTGCACACTGGCACCCCAAATCCCCAGGCAATCTCGGGCTCGGCCCCGGCTATATAAAGAGAGCAATTTCTCGCTTTTTGTGCCCCACCGTTTCTGGCTCTTTTTCCCGGCACACCACCCCAGGAAAAACGAAATCGTCATGAAATTAACCACCTTCGTTGCCGCCGCATGCGCCGCCCTGTCGGCGTCGGCCATTTCCATCCCAATGGACCGCCTCCAGAACGTCCAGCAAGTCTTGTCTGATAAGGCCTCCTCGCTCTCTTCCCAGTACTCGGACCTCAGGGGCGCCTTGGAGAACTCCAAGGGCGACATGTTGCTGAAGATTGCCCAGTACGTAAAACAGCCCGTGGAGGCGATCCCCAAGGACGCGGCCGCTTTGTGGCTGGAGATGATGCTCAAGTTCCCAGAGAGCGTGAGCTCGCTCAAGTTCAAGAACCCAGCCTCCTCCGCCAAGAAGCTCGCCCGTAAGTTTGACTTCCACGTTACCGACGCCAAGTTGCCCAACCACCAGTTGCGTGTCAAGTCCACCCCGGAGGACTTGGGCATTGACAAGGTCAAGCAGTACTCTGGTTACTTGGATGTCGCCGACGAGGACAAGCACTTTTTCTTCTGGGCCTTTGAGTCCAGAAACGACCCCAAGAACGATCCTGTCATTTTGTGGTTGAACGGTGGCCCTGGCTGCTCCTCCTTGACTGGTTTGTTCTTTGAGTTGGGTCCTGCCCGTATTGGCGAGGACTTGAAGCCCGTGAACAACCCATCTGCCTGGAACAACAACGCCACCGTGATCTTCTTGGACCAGCCCGTCAACGTCGGCTACTCGTACTCTTCCGAGTCCGTCTCCAACACCGTGGCTGCCGGCCAGGACGTGTACGCCTTCTTGGAGTTGTTCTTCCAGCAGTTCCCTGAATACGCCAAGAGAGACTTCCACATTGCCGGTGAGTCATACGGCGGCCACTACATCCCCGTTTTCGCCTCTGAGATCTTGAGCCACGACGACCGTCACTTCAACTTGACCTCTGTCTTGATTGGTAACGGTTTGACCGACCCATTGACCCAGTACGAGTACTACCAGCCAATGGCCTGCGGTAAGGGCGGCGAAGAGGCTGTCTTGGACCCCGAGGAGTGTGACAACATGGCCTCTTCGATTCCTCAGTGCTTGTCGTTGATTGAGTCGTGCTACAACTCTGGCTCTGTGTGGTCTTGTGTTCCCGCCACCATCTACTGTAACAACGCGCAGATGGGCCCATACCAGAAGACCGGCAAGAACGTGTACGACATCAGAACCGAGTGCAAGGGCGGTAACTTGTGCTACGAGGAATTGAGCTACATTGACGACTACTTGAACTTGCCCGAGGTGAAGGAGAAGTTGGGTGTCGAGGTGGAGGAGTATCAGGGCTGCAACTTTGACATCAACAGAAACTTTTTGTTTGCCGGCGACTGGATGAAGCCATACCACAAGAACGTGATTGACCTCTTGGAGAGCAAGTTGCCAGTGCTTGTGTATGCCGGAGACAAGGACTTTATCTGCAACTGGTTGGGTAACCGCGCATGGACGGACCGTTTGCCTTGGTCCGGACAGAAGCAGTTTGAGTCGCAGAAGGTGCGTACGTGGACCGTCGGCAAGGAGGCCGCCGGCGAGGTGAAGAACTACAAGCACTTTACGTTTTTGAGAGTGTACGGCGGCGGCCACATGGTGCCATTTGACCAGCCTGAGAATGCGTTGGACATGGTGAACCGGTGGATCGCCGGCGACTACACATACAACTAGGCCACCGAGCGGCCTGTGAAGTAGCAGCCTTGTGAGTAGAAACAAGCGATCAGCCTGAAGCGCTTTTTGTGTCTGTCTTCGTAGGCGGCTATTGTAGCTTATAGGCGCTGGTGCGGAAACAACAAACAGCCTCATTTTGCAACCAGACTACCCGATTCGGCCACTTCCCAAACACCCATCCAAGCAAGCCCCGAAGCCCTGGAAAACGCTCCACACGTCAAACCTAAGCATCAACAAGCTTTCATCCTGAACCTACTACACTAACGCTATATCTAATTATCAGCCATGCGGCTCCATCGCAGCATTCGCCTGGTGCTTATGCTTGTGTGTATAGCCCTGGGGGTGATGGCCTCACTAGCCTACGAACCACGCTTTCGGCTGATGCTCCCGTTTATGGTTTCCAGTTTTGTTGTCGTGGTGGTGCAGCCCGTGACGATGGTGAAAAACGGGCTTTGGCCTGTGGAAGCCGTGGTATACCTTTTCCACTTGGGTGCTTCGGTGACGCTCATATGCCAGTTCAACGGGGTCCCATTGCGGTACCACGGCGTGGAAGTGGTGGTTCTGTTGGCGATGGCGGGATGTTTCTTGCTGGGGGTTGTTTTGGGGAAGCCGGGAAAATTGGAAAAATCGTCTGACGTCGAAAGCACCGTCACTGTGTGTCTGGAGCAGCTTTCGCTCAACAAGGCCCATGAAAAACCCGATGTCGCCAACAAGGCGAGCCAGAAAACACTCGTTAATCGGGAAGCCTCGGGAAGCACGCTTCGAAGCGACAACAGCGAGCCGGAAATGGTGTCCAAAGCCATGGCACTGAACTCGCTTGAAGACTACTGTGAGCACAACTGGATGAGCCCACAGTTGGACTATTCGCTGGTTCCTCTGCTCAATGGCCCGGAAAACAGCGTCCATCGTCTGAAGCTGGTGAGCCAGCTCCATGTGAACAAACGGCTGCCGAAAAAACGCAAGTGGCAGCTGATCCACGACGAGAAGGTGTTTTTGCTGAGCGTGAGTGAAAATCTCCTTCCGTCGGTGCTCAAGCTGAGCGAAAGCCCGATCCAGGCCAGCAAACGGAGTATGGAGAATTTCAGGGCTTCTGGAGAGTTCGACGGCAGCCCCGTCCGGACCCAGTACCACACGCCTCGAGCCTCGCCGAGTCGAGAATCGTTCGAGAAAGCAAAATCCACTTTTGACCGCCACAGCGCTATATTGGAAGGCCCCGACCGCCACAGCGCCATCATGGAGGGCCTAGAGGAGATCCCCACGGCGCAGGCGCCGCCCTGGACGAAGCAGGGCACGGGACTTCGGCTGATTCTGCTTCAGGACTGGGAACGCAACAAGCAGTGGTTTGCGCCGGGCAGTTTCCACGACGGGGTGGATTATGAAAATTTCGGCAGGGCCGGCGAAAGCGACAAGGAAGATTTTGATAATTTCGGCAAATCCAGAGACGAGGTGACTTTTGATAATTTCGGCAAATCCAGAGACGAGGTGAATTTTGAAAATTTCGGCAAATCCAGAGATGAAGTGAATTTTGAAAATTTCGGCAAATCCAGAGATGAGGATTTTGAAAAATTCAACAAGTCCACCGAGGTCTTCCCAGAAACTGTGGACCGCCTTGGTGACCGCCTTGACCGTCTCACAGTAACCGAAAAAGACAGACCTTCCAGCATCCTCCTGGGGGCACCCTCCCTCCACACATACAGACGAAACTCCGAAGGCTCCAACCGCCGCCTGGTGTACGCCCAGGAGCTGCTTGAAAACGCCCTCACCCACTGCGTCACTCCGACTGCAAGGGTGCCTGAGCTCCCCAGTATCCAGTCGACCAACTCGTCGCCAATCAAAAGGGTAATGGGAATGTTCCGCCGGCGGGGCCTGGAGGCCGAGTTCGCCGGGCCAAACTACAGTTTCGGCTACCACAAGCACAACGACCTGGTTGCAAATTCCACCATTTCCCACCCGATTCTGGTGGCCTCGGGCAAATCGTCGTCCGGGCTGCCCCGAAAAGCCATTAAATCGTTTTTGAAGCTGCACAAGTCCGGAAGCAGCTTCACGTATACCCCCCACAATCCTCCGCCTGTTCCTCCAGCACCTCCGCCAATTCCCATTTTGTTCAACATGCCCAAAGACCCGCTCTTTCGCCACAGCACCGAGCTCATGCAGCCGTTCCGGGTCCCCTCTGACGAGTGGGACATGAGCGAGGCCACGGCTCTGGACCAGCTGAGGGTGAGCAGTTTGCCGAGTGCTATTATTGGGGAGTACGATAAGGAGAAGTGGCGGAAGTTGAAGGAGTTGGAGGAAGCCAGTGAGGCCTTCAAGGCCGAGCTGGCTGAGGCGGCAGTGGACGTTTAAAATTGAAGTGTTTTTGGGGATCCATTCTCGAGGTGTACTTGAGATGTCTGATAAACGCAAGCACTGCCTGACGATCAAAGACAATGGAAACCACCTAACCAAATCCTCCATTAATCAACAGACACTTCCAACAAATCCAGAACTACAATCTCCTTCCCACCGCCATATGACGCTACGAATCCACACTGTGTGATGCTAGGCTGACGTCAGATCCAGGATACATGGACCCACGGTCTTATACCCATATCCCGCCATCCACCTAAAACGCTATCCACCCACCCACCCATCACATTCACTTATTACAGACCTCGGTCTCAGCATCAGCCGTACGGCAGCACATAGCATATTAATGAAATCGCATGCAAACTAGGTTGTAGGTATCTGCGACAATGTGTCAAAATGGCTGCGAAACGCACGTCGCGAGGCTCATGGAAGCTAATACCCTGGAGTTTAAGCAGGGTTTGGAGTTAATTGAAAAGGGGTAAGTTTAAAGGTGTAAGTTAAAAGTATGGAGAAGGAGGGGACCGAAGGGGTGGGTTTCTGAGAATTTGGTGGAGTGGTGTCTCGGGATTTGTGGTAGGCATTGTCTCAAAAGGTATAGTTGTAGAGACCAAGGTGCACGTTAACGGAAAATTGAAGGAAAAGCATTACGGGAAATTGAAGGATAAGGAAGGGAAGCAATGCAACAGGAGTTTAAGCACATGATGATGATAATGAATGAATTTTTGAATGAAGAGCTACGGGCAACGCTTGTAATACTCTGGTACTGTCACTCTGGGTATTCCTAGAGCCTGTATTGGTATTAATTGGAAGTAGTCACCGGACTCTGCCGTCTTTTACGATCCCCTTCGTGGAATCTAATGTTTCGTTTCACAACGTTACAAAAATCGAAGCAGAGATGAACCATCTATTGCGGAGAAACCTTCAACATTATAGTTCACACTAGATGTTGCCTGACCGATAGCCATTACAAGCTTCAACTGGCTGGTTTTTGGAATCCATTACGTAACCAGTTTTTCTTCGTCCAACAGAACCGATAATGAAACCTTCATTCGAATGAAATGTCTAGATTTGCATCATTTGGTGACTGAAGCTTACCTCGTTCTTCTAGACCGTCTCGATGGATGCTCAGGTCACGGTTAACTCAGTTTTCTTCCAAAGCATCTACAACTGTATCAAGAAAAAAGACTGTCATCATGCAAAATAACCAAAAAACATACAATTTCCCTCTTTCCACCAATCCACCTCTGCCTTACTGCCACTATATCACACAACTTTGCAGCCATCTGTGCGCCATATGATACCACATCATCTCCACCAACAAACAAGCATTTTCAGTTTCACCAAAAAAAAAAAAAAAAAAAAAAAAAAAAAAAAAAAAACAAAAAATTTCACCCCTTTCCCCAAAGCATCTACAACTGAATCAAAAAAAAAAACTGTCATCATGCAAAAAAACCAAAAAACATACAATTTCCCCCTTTCCCCCAACCCCCCCCTGCCTTACTCCCACTATATCACACAACTTTGCAGCCATCTGTGCCCCAAATAATACCACAACATCTCCGCCAAAAAACAAGCATTTTCAGTTTCACCAAAAAAAAAAAAAAAAAAAAAAAAAAAAAACAAAAAATACAAAAGATTTCACCCGTTTCCCTCATTTAACTTACCAAAAGCCTATTTCCATCTCCCAGCTTACCATCTTCACTGGGGTCTGGGGACCATCGCTGGTGTACAGGTGCACACCCAGATGAGCATCTCAGAAAGCAGAAAGCCAAGCTCCACCTTTCATTTCTCCATGGATGACGATCTTTTCGGCGTCTTTTCGGAGACGCCTGCCAACTTGCCGGTGAAAAAGAGCAACGACAAGCCTACAGAGCAAAAACAGCCGAAAAAAAGGCCCGCTCCATCGCAAAATAACAACAAGAAAGACAAGAAGCAGGATAAGCTGGAGAAGAATGAAAAGAGGAAAAACCCCGTCGTCAGTGACGCCGTGGAGATCGAGGCTTCGAGAGAAGTGGCTCCTTCAGCCGGTCTTATGGCTGCCAAGGAGGAAGAGTCCAAGTTGAAGTTGAAGCATCAGGTCAGACACCAGGTTGCCATTCCTCCTGATTTCCCGTATGTTCCTATCGGAGAACACGTCAGAACCAACGAGGCAAGAACGTATCCGTTTACATTGGATCCGTTCCAGGATACGGCGATTTCGTGTATCGACAGAAACGAGTCCGTGCTTGTTTCTGCGCATACTTCTGCTGGTAAGACCGTGGTGGCTGAATACGCCATTGCCCAGTCTCTCAGAGAGAAACAGCGTGTCATTTACACCTCCCCTATCAAGGCGTTGAGTAACCAGAAGTACAGAGAGCTTTTGGCCGAGTTTGGCGATGTGGGTCTTATGACCGGTGATGTGACCATCAACCCAGACGCGGGCTGTTTGGTCATGACCACCGAGATTTTGAGAAGTATGTTGTATCGAGGCTCCGAAGTCATGCGTGAAGTCGCCTGGGTCATCTTTGACGAGGTCCACTACATGAGAGACAAAAACAGAGGTGTGGTGTGGGAAGAAACCATCATTTTGCTTCCCGATAAGGTGCACCATGTGTTCCTTTCGGCCACGATTCCAAACGCCATGGAGTTTGCCGAGTGGGTCGTGAAAACCCACAACCAGCCCTGTCACGTTGTGTACACGGACTTCAGACCCACTCCTTTGCAGCATTACTTGTTCCCTGCCGCTGGCGATGGTATTCACTTGGTGGTGGACGAAAAGGGAACTTTCAGAGAAGAGAATTTCCAGAAAGCCATGTCGTCCATTTCCAACAATATCGGTGACGATCCAGCATCTGCAGAGGCCTCCAAGAGCAAAAAGAAGGGTGAAACGTACAAGGGAGGCGTCAAGGACGGAAAGAGCGATATCTACAAGATTGTCAAGATGATCTATATGAAGAGATATAACCCTGTGATTGTTTTCTCGTTCTCCAAGCGTGACTGTGAGTCTTTGGCCCTTAAAATGTCCAAGTTGGACTTCAACACGGACGAGGAGCGTTCTGCATTGACAAAGGTGTTCGAAAATGCCATTGATGTTTTGCCTGAGGCCGATAGAGAATTGCCCCAGATCAAGAATATCTTGCCCTTACTCAGAAGAGGTATCGGTATCCACCATTCCGGTCTTTTGCCTATCTTGAAGGAGGTCATTGAGCTTTTGTTCCAGGAGGGTTTGCTTAAGGTGCTTTTCGCCACAGAAACCTTTTCCATTGGTCTTAATATGCCTGCCAAGACCGTCGTTTTTACATCTGTCAGAAAGTGGGACGGTCTGGGCTTCAGATGGGTCTCTGGTGGTGAGTACATTCAGATGTCTGGAAGAGCTGGTCGTCGTGGTTTGGATGACAGAGGTATTGTTATCATGATGATTGACGAGAAAATGGAGCCTCAGGTTGCCAAGGGTATGGTGAAGGGTCAGGCAGACAGATTGGATTCTGCGTTCCACTTGGGCTACAACATGATTTTGAACTTGATGCGTGTGGAAGGCATTTCGCCGCAGTTCATGTTGCAAAACTCTTTCTATCAGTTCCAGAACGCTGCTTCCGTGCCTAAGCTTGAACAGCATCTTCAGCAGTTGACTTTGGACTACAATGATGTCAAGGTTGACGATGAGTTCCACGTCAAGGAGTACTACGACTTGAAGATGCAGCTCGAGGGATACCAGGAGAATGTTCGCCAAGTTGTCACCCATCCAGGCCACATCCTTCCATTCTTGCAGCCCGGAAGAGTCATCAAGATCAAGATTGGTGAATTCGATTACGGTTGGGGTATGGTGGCTTCTTTCACCAAAAGATCAAACAAGAGAGATCCTTCCCAGGCCTACACTGACCACGAGCTGTACCTCGTCAGTGTCTTTGTGTGCACCATGTTTGTGGATGCTCCAGTTAATTTGATCAAATCATTCAACCCTGTTTTCCCAGAGGGTATCCGTCCTTCCAACGAGGGCGAAAAGCTGAGAGCCGAGTATATCCCCATCACTTTGGACTCGATCCAGGCGATTTCCAGTGTCCGTTTGAAGGTCCCCGACGACTTCAAGAGCTCTACTGCAAAGAGGAACTTGGTGAGAACCTTGAGAGACTTGCCCAAGAAGTTGCCAGACGGAATCCCTACAATGGACCCTGTGGAGAGTATGAAGATCGACGATCCCGAGTTCAAGATGTTGTTGCGTAAAATTGATGTTTTGGAGAGCAAGTTGGCCACCAATCCTTTGCATGAGTCCGACCGGATCAACGACTTGTACGCTAAGTACAGCCACAAGGTCGACATTGAGACGAAGATCGCCGAAACAAAGGACAAGATCTTGCAGGCCCAGGCTGTCATTCAGCTTGACGACTTGAAGCACAGAAGAAGAGTGCTCAGAAAGCTTGGTTTCGTTACTCCCGACGAAATTATCGAACTTAAGGGTAGAGTTGCATGCGAGATCTCCACCGGTGATGAACTTCTCTTAACCGAGCTCATATTCAACGGTACCTTCAATGACTTGCTGCCTGAGCAGTGTGCTGCGCTTTTGTCTTGTTTTGTTTTCCAGGAGCGTGCTAAGGAAGTTCCTAGATTGAAGCCTGAATTGGCTGAGCCTTTGAAGGCAATGCAAGACATGGCGGGCAAGATCGCCAAGGTGTTCAAGGAAAGCAAGATTGAAATCGCCGAGAAGGAGTATGTGGAGCTGTTCCGTCCCGAGCTCATGGAGGTGACGTACGCCTGGTGTAAAGGCGCCAAGTTTGCTCAGATCTGTAAGATGACCGATGTCTACGAAGGTTCGTTGATCAGAACGTTCAAGAGATTGGAGGAGATGATTAGGCAGATGATCCAGGCGGCCAAGACCATCGGTAACCTTGAGTTGGAGGACAAGATGGAGAAGGCCACGGAAATGGTGCACAGGGACATTGTTTCGGCAGCGTCGTTGTACTTGTAATATAGATTAGATAGACCCAACGGGAAGAGCATGTCCGAGAGTGTAGGCACAGAAGCTTTTGGTGATGATTTTGTAGGGAAGGGTAATTATCCAAGTCTATTCAGTTTGGGGATTCTTTGTGTTTTTGTCTCCATTTCATAAGAATTACCGTTCGTTGATGAATCGTTCTTTTGTAGTATTTGAGCATAAGTCTGTTACATTGATCTGGGTTATCTATTTGGAGCCTAGGTTTTTAAAATTTCTCCAGGTATAAGGCTCACAGATGCTAACTCCAGCTCCTTGGCTTTTTGGATCTTTTTCAGAATTTGCGTTTACTGATAGGTAGATGTACCAGTACAGTGATGAGTCCTACGGTAATTTAAGAGGTAAATCTTCAACTAGCCATATTTCACCAATCACAAAACAATAGATGTAATATGCATCTCTTTCAAAGCGAAACAATCAAAAACCTTCATTATTTCCATCTTGTGCCCTTCTTAAAAATAATCTCTCATGATATCCACATTAACCAAGCAGCTGCCGCACATCAGTATATAAACCAACCACGGCAAAAAATTCAAAAAGTCGATTCCACCAAACTTCCTCAAAACCGATTCCTTCCTTTTTCCACAAAAGACACCATCTTTAAAAATTCTCCTTTTTTTCATAAATTCCTCCTTCATCGCTGAAAGTGGCAGATGGGCCCGTTTTGCCGTCGAAATGCACCCTTTCCTACCTCCTGTCATCTTTTCGCAGCCACCCAAGGCTCCTGCCTTGCAGCGCCACCTCCAAAAAGTGACCATCTTGGAGCCTCTGGGCAGAGCACGTATAAATATCGAGGGTTCGCCGAAGAAAATTCGAAAATTGCCATTTTTTTTGATTTTCGGCAAATTCAGAAAATACCTGCCTCTGTCTACCCCGGACCGGGATATAACCCTTGCTGCGATCTCGATAATCCAACTACAGGTACTACCAGGGGTTTCTACGATACACCGAAACTGCACTTCCATCGACCACTAGAAGTTGGAATTTTTGAGTTACTGTCTCTGTTGGACTACTACACGATCTATACATAAATTGAGCCGAATTTCAGCGTACCAGCCGATCGTACTCAGGGTCATCTACACCGTCTGATAACGAATCAACCCCACAAATCAGAGGAGTCCTTACACCAGAGCCGTCTTTTCGATAATTGAAGCCACAAAGTCTCCTACTGAAGATCCATCTATAAATCCCCTCATATCATCACCATGTCTGTGGAACTCTTGTACGCTAAAAGCAAGGTGTACCTCCACCCGTCCTCATCCAATAAGGACAACGTGGCCGGTTTTTTGACCCTAGCCAAGCCCTCGGGCCCGTCCACCAAAAAGGACATCTTGCTCAGCTACACCCCTGAAAACATGCTCTCGGAAGAAGAGCTCAAGGTCTACAAGGAGGTGGACATGGCCGAGGTGGGCAACGAGTCCATGGGCCTGTTGCAGCTTGAAAACAAGCCCAAAAAGAATATCGATAGATCCACAAAGAAACCGCCGCAGAGCTCGGGCCTGGGCTACTGTTTCTCCTTGCCGTTGCTGCTTATCTACCTGGTCCACGTGAGATTGCCTTCCTTGGGATGGTGGTACGGCTCCGTGGTGTTGCATTCCAAGACGGGCGAGAAAATGCCCGTGGTCTTCTTTCACGATGACGAGTCGCCCCTGACGATCCAGCGCCAGAAGAACATGAACAAGCTGTTTGACCCTTTTGGCGAGGATGGTCAGATGTTCTGGGGCGGCCAAGACTTGATCCTGACGCTCAGGCGGTACATCAAGGTGGAGAAGCTGACGGTAGAGCCGCTGGTTTACTTGGTGGACCCGCTGAGTGCCGATTTGGCGAACTTTGCGCCGCTCAAGGATACGAAGAAGGAGAAGCAGGAGAGTTTCAAGATGCCCGACGTAAACAAGCTTTTGAGCACCGCCAAGTGGCGTGTTTTGGAAACCGTGGCCTCGTTTGGCCAGAAAACAAAGAATCTGGTTGTGGATATCGTCGACGAACATGTGCCTCAAGGTGTGGTCAAGCAGGTTTTGAGCAAGCCCGAGGTGAAGAAAATCAGCAATGAGTTCGACAGTGCCAGGGTCTATTTGGCCAAGTGGGCAGCTCAGGTCAAAGAGGAAGCCGAGCAGCTGCAGAGGAAGTTCATGATTGAGGATGCCGTTTACAATCGAATCAACAAGGAGCTTCGTGATGGACTGGAGATCTTGACTCCCGAGGAGATCAGCAACGCATCGAGAAGGACTCCCGTTAACAAGGTTGAATGGGATGGCTTTTTCGACCACAAAGGCAGACTCACGCTTACTGTCGACGAGGTCAAGTTCCGTATCTTCCATGGTGGCTTGGAAGAAGACGTCAGGAAGGAGGCTTGGTTGTTTCTACTCAATGTGTATCCTTGGGACTCCTCGGCAGAAGAGCGTGCAACACTCAGGGACAGCCTTGAAAGCGGATACCACGATTACAAAAAGCGCTGGGTTGAAGACGACGTGAAGCGTCAGGATGCATTCTGGAGAGACCAAAAGATGCGTATTGAGAAAGATATCCACAGAAACGACCGCCACTTGCCACTTTTCCAGCGCAAAAAGCCCTCTGTTCCAAATATGGCTGAGCACATTGACGAAGCATTTGAGGAAGGTGATCCACAGCCGGAACCAGTGGAGGAAGAAGATGACGGAGAGTGGGATATTTCCAACATCGAGAACCCTCATCTTTTTGCTATGAGAGAAATTCTTTTGACCTTCAACGAGTACAACGTCAATTTGGGCTATGTCCAAGGCATGACCGACTTGCTCTCGCCAATCTATGTCATTCTACAAGATGAGGTTTTGTCGTTCTGGGCATTTGCAGGGTTCATGGAGAGAATGGAGAGAAACTTTGTTAGAGACCAGAGCGGCATGAAGCATCAAATGGATGTGCTCAATGGGCTCTTGCAGTTTATGCTTCCCGATCTCTACAAGCATTTGGAGAAATGTGAATCGACGGACTTGTTCTTTTTCTTCCGCATGCTTCTTGTTTGGTACAAGAGAGAGTTTGACTGGAACGATGTTCTCACCTTATGGGAGGTTCTCTTTACAGACTACTACTCGAGCCAGTTTCACTTGTTTTTTGCCTTGTCGGTGCTCTCCGATAACAAGCGGATAATCATGCAGAACTTGCGTCGTTTCGATGAGGTTTTGAAGTACATGAATGAGCTCTCTGGTAAGATGAACCTCAATGATTTGTTGACACGGTCAGAATTGCTATTCCTTCGTTTTAAGAGAATGATAGCGCTAATCGACAGAGAGAACCTGCAGCGGAGCGAGAGCGGGGAAGTATATGAAGTCCACGTGAATCCAGACCTTCGTGAGCTTCTAAGCCGCAAGCTTGTGATTCAAAAAGAAGTTGAGAGACCTGAAGGTGTTGGAGGTGGCTAATGGTTGCAAAATGGAGACATCTTCTGTCCTGCAGATGCTGCATGGCAGCAAGATATAACATGAGCCCGCACGTGTGTGCATACTGCAGGTAGAACAGATGAGACCCTCTGCTTGACATGCAATCTTAAGACATCAACACTAAATCCCCAAAGTCACGCTTTGCATGGGCACGCTGTTAAAGAACGGAAAGCATAGGAGCTACAGTTCCACCAGAGATAGCGATGAAGAGTTCTTAGAGAGTCAGAGCTGGGAAGTTTCTAGCCGGACCAAAAAATGGCTCATTACGATCGGAACCCTTGTGGCTGTTTGCCTTCTTTACGTTTTTTGCTATCTATTGCCCAAAATGTTTATTCCTGAAACCAGAGAGCTAGTTGGTATTTGCAAAGTTGAACCGGTCAGCTTTATTTTGCTGCCTGTGCTGAGTGAAACTGCCAGCCTGTGGAACCTTCGGAGTACGGAATATGTCACCGAGGTCATGAAAGAGAGCGAAGTGGAGGAAGCCACTGAACTGACTGAGCTCAATGGTGAGAAGGTGAAGAAAGAAAGGCTTATTTTGATTGGCGACATTCATGGGCAGTACAAGGAGTTCAAGAAGTTGCTCAGAAAGGTGAAGTACAACAAGAAGAGAGACCAACTCCTCGTCTTGGGCGACTTCATCACTAAGGGTCCTCACTCACTCAAGGTGCTCCAGTACCTCATTGACAACGACATTTCTTGTATCATGGGGAACCACGAGTACTACGTCCTTCAAAACTACGCCAAATATCATGGCCTTCCCCAACCACGCTTTGTCAATGGCACGAGCCTCCCATTCAACGCATTTGGAAGTTTCAATGATGACCCTGAGTTCTTGCTTGCCAAGAAACTACGCCCCAAGCATGTGGAGTACATCAACAATTGCCCAGTGATGCGGGAGCTCGGGATCGTTCCATTGCATTCCAAGAAGAACCTGGGGAAGACCGGCCATGCCGAAGGCGTTGCTGTTCATGCTGGTCTCAAGTGGGATGCTCTTAAGGATCTCAATGAGCAGGATCCTGAAGACTGTCTCGAGATGCGTTCCTACCTCGCGCCGTTCTACAACGAAACCACCGATAACCCAGATGACAAGAACGCAGTGTCTTGGTCGAAGATCTGGAACCAGAAACAAAAGGACGGAGAGTTAGATCGCTCAATAGTAGTATACTATGGGCATGATGCTGGCAGAGGGCTCAAGCTCAAGAAGTACTCCAAGGGCCTTGACTCTGGGTGCTACAAAGGCGACAAGTTAAGTGCCATGGTCATTTGGCAGGAGCAGGTGAAGCACAAGGTGATGTACAAGGAGGCTCTCGTGCAGCAAAGGTGTTGATGCATTTGCATACCATGGACTCATGAGTCTCATGGCCCGTTATCAGCGAGTCAGGTGCACTTTGAATGCCTTGCGTCGTTGATGGTGTTTGTTTGTCTTTTACGTTAAGTAGGTTTATGAATCGAGTCATTAGTCATTGCACTAGCTGAGTAAAGTGTAGAAGTGCCTGGTGTATCTACCCCGAAATGGTTATTGAAATCTTTCAAAAGAAGGAAATTGCCGTATCTAAGGTTTTACAGTCCTCTTTTCTGTGATATTCCTCAAAGTCAGGAAAAGAGTCGTCAATCTTACAATCGAATCCATAGTTTGACGATCCGTTTGCAAGGATGCGGTTGCTTTTCCTTTGTTCCTCAAATGAGTATTATTTACATTATCGGGCGTAAATAAACCTCGATGATGTTTTAAATATGCTCAAGTAATCCCCAAAAATATCCATGATAATGTGAAAATAAGTGGTTGCAAAATATATAACCGCCCTACTTTGGTAGTGCATATTGGCCGATTGAACCTGGACTTCTGCAATTCTCACACTGAGGTACATCAAATAACATGAACCACATGTTCTTTTTGAATATTATGCAGAGATTCCAGCTGGAGATGTCATAATATTGCGTGATTCCGAGCCTTCCTTACTGCATGACAGGACTGTATCAAAAATGGCCATCAAACATTGCGGCGTTTTGGGAATTGAACTGATCACCATTTCCACCATAGGATAGTCTGGCATTCCGCATAATCGTCACCAAAGCATGACCATAAGGATATCGGATGGATTTACTTTTAAACGCGTGTGAACCTCGCCTCTCAGAGTCTTCACTAGCATGACGCGTGAGTTCCTCCACTTTATTCAGAAGAACCTGAACGAGATCGTCGAAGGCGCCATAGAAGAGGTGCTCTGCAGCGACCCTTCCAACTACGTGTCACATACGGTTGACACTTTCAATGTTGACATGACTTTGTGGCATGTAACAGCGCTAGAGCTTCAAAATGTCCCGTTGGTAGAAGGCACCAACTACATTCGAACGGCCAGAGAGATGGAAGGGATACTGGTGTTGGGCTCGGGACCAGACATGAATGATGGTAACTGCAGACTCGTATGTACAGCTAGCGTTGAGTCTCAGCTCTCTACGGAACTCTTTGATCGAGTCATCTCCACTACTTGTGAGAAGCTAAAAAAAAGGCGGCATAACATGTCAGGAATACGTTGCCTAAGTGTTGGAGATATACGGATGCCGCATAACTCAAGTATGCAATTTCTACTGTCACATTGTTATGGGAAAGAAGTAGTGGCCAAAGACTTGACCACCACCGATCCCACCAACAATCAAGTGCCACGCATTCATGGTAAACTAGAGATTGAACTCATACCACCACGTGTGAATTTACCATTTTACCCACAAGCTTTATTGTCCTTCTCGTTCTTAGCGAGTTGCTTTCGAGTTCTGATATGTCAAACCGAGCCGTCCTTCTGCTCATGCTGTCTGGACATCGAAATAACTAGAGTGTCAGTGGAGCTCAAAGAAATCTCGAGTTGCAAGGTGCCTTTTAAAAGCGGTTTCGGTCACCAGAAAGATGTGCGGAGTCAAGTCTTGCAAGACAAGACGTTCGAGGGACTTCTCGATTGCTCAAGATTTCAAGAGACCGACGGTAAACTTGTTCACGATCTTCAAAAAAGATTTATCAACTGTCGTCTTCCAGAGTTAGGACCCACATTCTACTCTGATAGCATGAGTCGGACCTATGAGCTTCACTTTGCTGTCACTGTCGGGTGTGCGGCCCAAAAATGTTCCACGACCTTAAAGGCCTCGATTGAGATCAATATTGCCATAAAGGACGACATCAACAAAATTGACTCGACCAAGAAACCAAAACAGAGAACAGGTGATACTTTTCATGTTGTGTCTTTACCTAAAAGTTCCTCTACCATGCATGATCTCAAGAGAATTGTGGAGCAAAGGCTCGGCCGTATAGGTGTTGATTTCTCGGCCTATCACACATATTCATGCGCATTGAATGGTGCTATCTTTACATTGTTGGTTGTTAATCTTTTGGGGAAGAACAAGGGCGCTTTGTTTAAATCGGACTTGAAGGAGAAGAAAGACGAAGTCGAAGAGAATGGGAGCGTTATGGTATACTCGAACGGTGCTTTCACAATATGCTCCTCTGGTGCGACCTTGCAAGCCCTTAGAATGCTACATTTGACGGCTGACAATGACTCGATTCCTCTTGGGCGTTACCGATACGGAGCCGGAGGATTTTTTCCCTTTTTCTCGCTTAGCAAAACACCTGTTGCGAACGAGAAATTTAGTCTCGAAATCTGCCTATCTTGTCCCGCACGAAGCAAAGCACGTCTTGTCAAGTGCTCGATAGAGGTTGTAGAAAAATCAATGACGCAGAAGGATGATTCTTTCGAAGAGCATGAGAGAGTTTTGCCCGTTTTGGCTCAGCATCTCGAGGGATTGGGGTGTGACAAAATGGAGAACATTGATGGGACGAATATCTTCAAGATTCCCAGAAAGTTGACAGAATTCATAATGCCGAATCTAGAGCCCTCGATCATTACGCGGACTTATTTTAGAGAATATTTTGTGGTGGTGAAGCTAAAGTTATCCGTATCTTTACTTCGATGCCACCGGGTTGCGTGTGTGCAAAGCATGCTCATGCCTGCTGGCGATCTAGAGAGGTACTTATGCCCTCCATCGTATGAAGCTGCAAACGGGAATAGAGACTTCCTGTGAGCTGTAACGTGGCGCTCAAAAAATGCTGGTTTACTGGAAGTTGCTAGGGGTGAAGCTGTTTACAAATTCATCCATAACTTTATATTGCCACTTTGGACTCGATGCTAATCGAAGACCAAATAGGTGTGATGACATCTCGGGTATGGACTCAGGCTTGAGTGATGCGACTGCTCTAGATACACCATTTGCATTCTAGTGGGAGTTGGTAACAACATGATGCTGCATTAATGGTGCGAGCTCATTAAGGGTTTGCCCTTTGCGTTGATGTTTGATGCGAGGATCAACAACTTTGGAAACGCGTCTGTCAGATGTGAGGGGGCAAACATGACTATAGAAGGCGCTCTTTAGGCGATGGGCCAGTTCCGCTAATTAAGAGATATGCGATGGTAAGGGTACTGGCCCTGAGTGATGCCTTGCAGTACAAATCGAGGCGTCGGTTGGTCATATGTCGCGTTATGGTAACGGCAGACCTTTCTAATTTTGAGAATCTGAGCTCTTGCCTCCCAGGTTCAGCAATTCAATCCATTCCTCAGATGGAACTTCCTCGGGCAGATTCTTCTTTGAACGGCGACTTACGCTGCTTAGGGACACCTTGGTACCGCTGCTTTCGCAACTTTCAGTACTCTTTTCCCCTTCATCCGGGTCACCGTTTTGGGCATCGTACTCGACATTGGAGTCGTGCTTGCCACTGGAGTTGTGCCCGCCATCAGGGCCACCTCCCAGGCCGCCAGATCCCATATTGCTTAGTTCAACTGTGTTTTCCTCCACCACCTCCTGCTCCTTCTGCTTGAGACCAACGAACTCAAGGCACTTGACACCGAGCTTACGGCATTTTCTAGCGAGAGTAACACCAAACTCATGGCAGTCCTGAATCAATACGCTGGTCCCATACCTGGCCAAGAGGATCATATCGAAGAAAACCCAAGCGAGTTGGTGGCAAAACGTGAAGAGGAGGCTCCAATTCTGACAGTCATACTTTTCTTCGTAGTAAATGGCTAAAGTGAAGCAGACGGCACCTGTGGCGAACTTGAGGAAGGCATCGAAGACAAACATGTGTCTGTATGAGTCTCTGTTGAAGTAGGAAACGAATAAGGCGAGACCCGACAAAAAGAAAAAAACATTAGGGAGTAATGTTTGGCCGATCAATTGGCCGATGTCGATATCCTCCTGGCAACAGATATTGGTTCCATTTACGGAACCTTTGATCTGCCAATACCACGTCAAGCATAGACCTATGGCCGTCAAAAGGGAGGCTGCAAAAAGCCCCCCGATAACACCTGCCGTAGTTCTTGCGCATAAATCTCTCTGGCCCATGCGGTGGAGCCTAAAGTGCTCGTGTTCTCCGAAACAAAATGAAAGGGTAGATTTCAACATAATCAAGAAAAAGAGGAAGATCTTGTGAGGACTAAGCTGTAAATAAAGCAGGGTCTTTTATAGCCGCCCCGCGTGGTACTGCACAATGCCTCCCAGATCGAATCTTCCTTTGATCTGATCCATTGTCCGCTAACAAAAACAAACTTTACTTGACGTGGACTTACGATACTCGATCTGGAAAGACTCAATGTTCATCAGAAGAGATAGTGAATGAAGCGTGCACTAAATATCGACCTGTATAGGAGTCAACTCGGAAGTTTTTTGATTATCGATGCTTGCAGTGCTTCACCATAAGCTTTTTGGCCAGGTACCACATTCCAAAGATTGTCGACTAGTACGCTTAGGGAAACCCCGACAATCTCGTTGGCTCGTTTATTAAGCAACTTCATATGGTGGCTGTTTCTGAAATCACGGTTAATATGTCTGGACATGAGGACACGTCTCTTATCGATGTTTGCGGCTCGATGGCTGCACACAACAGGGTATCCAGTCTGCCTTGACTGCCCTATGCTTTTGAGCATTTGTGGGTGTGACATCACGTCGTCTAAGGACGCGTCTGCTTCTACGAGACGTGTAGTCCAGCTTCGGTTCTCTTAGTCGAGACGTTTGGTTCAGCTTCCGTTTTCCTTGCCGGATCATGCAGCACGCTACCGTACATAATAAATGCAGCAAAATCCGATGATTGGACAGTGATGGCAACTTCTGATAAATACGTCGTTTTTCGTGACGTGACCAAATGCCTGTCTGTCCGTCCTAGGAAGGTCCAACAAGTCATACCAAGATGAACTCAGGAAATGCATGACCAGAGAAATTCTACATGCATTTGGACAGACATAAAAGCCTTCGTTTCTAGATGAGAAGAAAGCATCATAATGACGTTTCTTCATTTTATACAGAAGGACCTGAACGAGGCTGCCGAAGGCGCCATAGAAGAGGTGCTCCGCAGCGATCCTTCCAAATACGTTTCACATACTGCTAGCTCCTTCAATGTGGACCTGACTTTGTGGCATGTAACAGCGCTAGAGCTTCAAAATATCCCGTTGGTTGAAGGCACCAACTACCTCCAGGCGGCCAGAGAGAAGGAAGGGATGTTGGTGTTGGGCTCGGGGCCAGACATGAATGATGGAAGCTGCAGACTTGTCTACTCCATCATCAAGCCCTCCCAGCTTTCAGTCGAGCCATTTGGTGCTTTTGATACTTCTTCTTTATGCAAGAAGTATGAAGCGCTAGGAAGTTACCATGGTCTACGCTGTCTTAGCTTAGGGGAAAAGCGGATTCCACATATCCCTGATGTCACCTTTCGCTCGTCACATTGTTACGGGCCTCAGAGCAATGCGACACATACCATTGCGCCAGGCGGAGCCAACAACCTATGGTTTAGCGTATACGGTAAAATGAAAGTGAAAGTTCATTCTGATGACGATACAATACCGCTGAATGAGGTGAAAGTCTTCAGACCTCTATGCCGATTGGGCGACAAACTTCTGATTCTGTTTCACCAACTCAAGCCATCTTTTTGCTCTTGCTCCGAAGATGTATGGGTTCATCGAGTGACTGTGGTCCTTAAAGAAATAACAACTTGCAAGGTACCTATCCACGACAGTTTTGGCTATCAGCAAGATGTAAGAGAGTTCACTCTCAGGAAAGTAAAGTGCAACCAAAGGATTGTGTCCTGCGCAACTGAAGGGACCGACGACCAACTAATTGCCTATCTTGAGAAGAGCTGCTACGATTGTTGTCTTCCAAATCTAGGTCCCACTTTCTTTTCTGATACCATGAGTAGGACATATGAGCTCCAATTCACAGTCATATTAGGATGTTCGGCTGTGAGGTGCTTCTCGATCTTTGAGCCCTCAATTGGAATCAATGTTGCAGTTGTGGACCACGAGAACAATGATATCTCGCCTGGACAACAAACGAAGAGAGAAGGCGACGTCTTTCATATTGTATCTTTGCCTTACAGCAGCACTACTGTGCAAGATTTCAAGAGAAGCTTGAAGGAAAGGCTCCAAGGTTTGGGTCTTGACTTTTCCGCTTATCACACGTTTTCCCACTCAACAACTGCCGGTGTCCTTACGCTTATGACGGTCAACCTCTCGTCAATGTCTAGCCTCCTGTTAATTGAATCATCACTGGAATCGAGGGAAGAAGGACCATATGACTGCAAAGACACCATCGTGTACAGCGATGGATGCTATCGCATGTGCTCATCAGGTGTGAATTCCAAACTATTCGAGAAATTTCAATTGACATTTCCAAATTCATCGAGGTTGATTTCGCTCGCTAAGTACCAACCTAATGTCGGTGACATTGGCGCTACATTTTTGTGTGAAAATCGTGTGGCTCCAAACAAATTTTGTACTTACAAGCTCCTATTGTCATGCCCAGAAAGATGCAACTTGTACCTTCACAAGCTCTCGGTAGAACTTGTTGAAAAAACACTCACGATGGAGGGCTTAGCCTATAAAGAACAAGAGAGGAGTATCCCTTTAGTATGTCAACAATTCCGCTCGCTCAAATGCAAAATTCTGGATTATTGTGATCAGCATAAGGAGGGATTCTTCTATGATGTACCGAAAGAGTTGACACATTACACTCTCCCCATGCTAGAGCCATCTGTCATTACGCCGACTTTTTATAGGGAATACTTCCTTGTTGTGAAGGTTAAGGTCTCAAAGTCCTTCTTTCGGTGCTTTCGGATTGCCGTCGTTAGAAGCGTGCCAATCTCTGCGGATAATCTCCTGGCGTATTTACGTCCACCACCCTATGAGATGGGGAAAGAGAAGAGCGAGGCGCAAATAGCCCTACAGAAAGAAGTGAATACCCCATGTGTTTGAACCTTTGAAGACTGTGATGGGTGTAAGAGTCGGGCAAGATTGTTGGCCTACCTGTGTCGGAAGCATAGACATCTGGAGAACCTTTCCTCGCAACATCTACGATTGAGGGTGGTTACTACGAGGCCTTACCGATTTTGGAGCCGATAGGGTGACGTTTGAGGTTTCGGTGCATTAACAACATGAATCTAGGGCACATTCCCTAGGCAAAGACCCACTGGAAGATAGCCTCGTGATGGTGGGTATCAACCATTCGACTCGCTAAAATCCCGACTGGTAGACTCCAGCCGTGCATCCCGGATCCTCTGCATCCTTCTATGACGCCGATTCAACCACTCAATACGTAAATCAAGCAAGCTTTGTCCCGGCTCAGGAAACTTCATCCGCTCTAACTGATCTAGAGTATAGCTTTCGCCGGGAATGAGCTCGGCCAACCTGTTGTCGATTGTATGGACATGTTGGGGAGACCAAAGCAGAGGATGGTTGAACTGCTGAAGACTTCCAAGCGCTATTGGGTCCATTCGAATGGGTCTAAGAGACTCTGTCAAAGGGATATCGTGAGCACCCTGCCCGAGGGGGATTTGACCTAATCCATCTTGCTCTTGACCCATGCCAAATTGCGTTTGACGTACGTCAGCTTGGTTTGGTGGTGTGCGCAACAGATACGACGAGACCACCAAAACCATGAGCCAGAGAGCCAGATGGGCAGCGGTTATCAGAAGGCCATTGATGGCGCGACCGAACTCTGAATAGTACAAGGTAAAAAGAGCGGTGGCCAGAAGCCACATGATCGCCTTCATGACGGCCTCAAAAATCATCAAGCTCTTGTACTTCCACCTGTTGAAGTAAAGTCTCATGAACACCACACCCGGGACAAACAAGAGAAGGTTGGGAACAAGAACACGACCGGAGAAGATATGGTCGTCAAACGGGATGTTTGCTTCATCAAGCAGAAGGTAGTAAGTCATGGTTGCACTAGCGGCAGTGAACCCTAGGGAAATAAGCACACCGCCGGCAGTACGAACCCATGTTCTTTCTGTGTCGTCTACATGGCCTTCGAAAAAGTTTTGAACTCGTCCAGGCCGAATGCCTTGATGATTGTTCTCCATGATTCGGAGAAGAAGAGAAGAAGGTGGTGAGGATAAGGCTGCAAATACAAACAGGGTCTTTTATAGCCGCTCTGCGTGGTACTGCACAATGCGTCCCAGATCGATTCTTCGTTCGATCTGGTCTATTGTCCGATAAGATAAGGTATGGTTGCCGTACAACTGTTTGGACTAAGAGGTCGGGACCTGATTGGATGAGTGTTATTTCATGAGTGATAGACAGGACAGGGGAAGTGAGGATCGCCCAGGGGGACTCTAGAATGTCGAGTATCTGTTGATTCTTGGTGCACCTGTAAACTGGAGGGTCCAGATATGCTTGGGCTGGGCTTTCCATGGAACTAAGAACTCACTCAACGAGGGAGAATGGTGCCTTTTCGTTGGAGCGTGGACAATCTGAAGTGTACTGGACTGAGGCTGGTATGCACGCTTATGTAATACTTGAATAAGCAGGGTCGGAGAGGACGACCTATTCAGGTAAGGCGTTTGTCCAGTGGTACATGGAACAACTTAAGTGAGGAGGCTTTCACATGATGTGGGCATTTTTGAACTGGAAGCATATCAATTGTGAACATTTTCAGAATGTGAAGCAAACTGATGTCCAAGAAGAGATCAGTGCGTACTTTGCGGTAGAATGCCCTGATTTGCTGGGCTGGTTGACCAAGGATTCACTCTCGAGTTAGAGATTAACGTCAGTTTTCGGGTTGTCTCCAGTCATTGAATTACCCTCAACGCTATAGCTTGAGCCCTGGTGTTTTGCACAGCCATGGCTTTCAACAACACCTTATAGAAATAAAAGCCTCAAATACAAAATATAAAAAACATTGAAAATCAGCTCTCTGTACGATGAGTATCACTGGTCCCCCCAGACTATCCAGGTGAACCGTCTGGCGCCTATCTGCAGTCATTTCCCATCCTCATACTACAGTCGATACACCTACTTGAGGGATGAGGTAAATTTGCTTATATGTAGTACCGCTTATTGGGGTGTCCAAAGCCGTCATCAACGGACGCCAATTTCCAGGAAATACAATTTTTAAGACGTTTAAGGAAGTCTTGTGGCGGCGAGTCAGCTACTCCCGCTGTCCTTGAAGCTCCTTTGCCCCCGCAGCCGAATATATAGCCAACCACTTCAATCCCACACCCGTGCACCTCGGTGGCGGCACGCCCACCCTCAAGATTCAAAACAACCAAACCCACACACCCAACACCCAGACACCGTTTTGCAGCCACACATGTCGGACATGATAGTGCCCAATTTGCTTACCGATGAAAGCGGTTCGCCCATGGCGTTCTACATCCACGCCCAGGACCCGCTCAGAGAGAAATACCTGAAAATCATCCGGGACAACGGAGGCTACATTGAGCCTTCGGAGGTCAACGCAGACAAGAACCAGTATGTCCAGCTTTCGTCGTATCCTGTTCCACGGAGAACGACGTTTTCGTTTCAGTTCATTGACGACTACTTGGACAAGGGCGGCTCTGTGTACTTGGAGCCGTACCAGTTGAATCCTGTCAAGAGATCAGCTGACGAGTTGGATGAACAGGATGTCAGAACCGCCAAGGCCATGGCACAGGCGATGAACAAAAAGGCCAAGGGTCCGCCAAAGAGCACCACCAAGTTCACCGTGGAGGCAGACAACTACATCCTCGAGCAGGTGCGGTTGAAGCCTCGGTTCAGAACATCGCACAAGTTCTTTGAGGAATTAGCCCAGCACGATTTGTTGAAGGGTCATACGGGCAATTCCGTCCGGTCAAGGTACAGGGCCCATTTGGAACACAAGTTGCTGTATGTGTACAAGACGGACGACTACGACCGGTTGATTTTGGATGCCAGTGGTAACAGAATAGCGCTTCCAGTGGCACATGCCAAAACCATCAAAAACCGCTTCACCGCCGACGACGACTACACCCTCTGTGAAAGCATCATCAACCACGTGCTCAACACCCAGGACAGGGAGACGTTGCAGACGGCAGACGACAAGCTGACCCGGCTTCCAGATGGAGTTCTCAATGAGGCCAATTTCCTGGTTTCGATTTCGTTTTTTGACGAATTCGCCCGCCAGAACACGGGCCACTCCTCGCTGAGCTGGAGAGACCGTTACAGAAAGTTTGCCCGTGTGTACGGTCTTCAGCGCTACAGAGACGACTACCGCAAAGCCATGGGCACCAAGGAAGGCCCCCAGCCAATGAAAAACTTGACTTCTCGTGAGTCCAAGAGCGAGAAAAAGGCGCAAATCACCGCCAAAAAATTGAAGGCCAACCAGGTCCGCATGGACATGAGTGCCCACGACCAGGCGCTTTTGGCAGACGAATTGGCAAGAAACCACCACAGCCAGCTCCACCACAACCACCACTTGACGCACCAGCTTGACTCTGCAGGCGTGGCGGCCGTGGCCAACATGGCGGTGGGCCAGGGGGCTCTAGATGAGGAGATTGGGGAAGTGAAAAATTCGAATATTGACGATGCACTTCGCCAGGTCGGTGTGGGTGCTGGAAGGGTCCAGATCGAGGACGATTTGGTCAATCCGGACGTCCGTGCTTTGGGCATCCACCAGACGGACCACAGCGCCATTCACCCCAATCTCGGCGGTGCTTCTGTTGATGGACACGATTTCGAAGGGCTCGAATTGAAAGTTGATGCCGATTCGCAGGACCCCTGGGCGAAATACATGGTCTACTTGCCCCGTGACGTGCTGCTGACGGCCTTGTTCTCGGACAAGTTCATCCAGTTTGAGCCCAATGTGATTGACAGAGCCAGAGAGCTCTTGACCACCTTGGAGCCCGACGATGTGGGTGTGCTCTTTGACGAGTTTGAGAAATTGGGCTTCACCAGGGCCTTTGTGGGCCACATCCTCAAGGTCACCAGCAGTTCTGTTCGCTACATCAACGACTACTTGTATACGCTTCGGGATGCTCTCCACGACGACCGCATCGATTTGGTGGAGGTTTTGTTCCCCAGGGGCCACAATGGCTTGTGGACGCCAGAACAGGACTTTGACTTGAAGGAGGGAAACATGCAAAAATTGGGTTTCCACGATTCCGAGAGCATTGGAGCGAGAAGACAGTTTCTCGGTCTCTAGGGGTGTTTCAGGCTGAAACACACATGTTCAAGATGAAACCCGGGTTGGTTACTGCGTGACTGTCAAAACCAAGCTTATCTAAATTTTCCCAAAACACGTCTGTTTCGAGGCTTGGACGTTTCGACTGTTTATCAACGTGCTCCTTATTGTCACATTCGGAATTGGAGGCTTAACCAGATTGCTCAAATGACGTATACACGGGAACATGACGCCTAATTGGGGAAATGCCTCATTGGACGGTGATATCTTGTGATAGCCTGATTTGGGCAAAAGCTTTCCGTTAAGCCTACTACCGTGTTCTACTCTTTCTAACCTAGCACCCAGTACATCAACTACTGTGCTTGTCTTTTTTTGTAAATTAGCAAGCTGGGCATCCAGCGCCATGTTCAATATTATTTTTTGTTTGAAGAATGCCGTAGGATTGGGGTAAAATGGGGTGATGGCGGTTTGGCTTGGTATGGTGTCACGTGCCGTTCACGTGATTTCCGAGGGTGCACGGGTAAATACGACTCCTTTTGCGGCTCGCTACGACTCGACAACAACGCGCGCCGCCTAATTGGGCAATGGTAAACACTACATGAAAAGTAAGCAATGTAAACAATAAAGGTATTCAAAAGATCTCAAACGAGACTATTTTGGGAAGAAAAAAAACACTTGACAAAACGAAGGTAGTTCATTCGGCAACATGTGCCGACTCAAATGCTTCTCTGCGCTATGCAACGAGTCGCTTACGAGGTGTAGACACCCCAGTACTGCTCGGCATTGTAAGGGCCGGGCTGCTTCCACATGTCGTTGTAGGCGTTGAAGAAGGTAACGTCGCTACCGCACTTGTCAGAGATGGACTGGAGGGCAGCCTTCTGGTTGTCAGAAGATGGCACGGCGACCTTGTTAGAGTCACCCTTGGTTGGCCAGCCGGTCTCAGTGATGAACACCTTCTTCTTGTCACCGCAAGCGGTGGAGACTCTCTGGAGCTGCAACAAGACCCAGTCACCAGCCTCCTTGGCGGAAACGTAACCGTCAAAGAAAGCGTGGGCGTTCACGGCCATGTAGTCAGAGTGCTCACACAAGTCAGGGTTGTTGATAACGGCAATGAAGGTGTCGACGTTAACGACTGGGCCGGTGTAGCCCTGGGCCTTCAAAGCAGATCTGCCCTCAGAAACGTACTTGCCGATCTGGGCAGGGGTGGCAGAGCCGGCGTTGACCAACTCGTTACCGATGGAGACGGTGTGCACAACGTCCCAGCCGCCGTGGTTCTTGACAGCCTTGGCGAGGGTCTCAACGTCGGACTGGATGTTGTCAACGTCGAAAATACCGGCGAAAAGCTTCTGGCCCTCGGAGAAACCAGAAAGGGCAGCCTCGACCTGGTTACAGTCGACACCGTAGAGTCTGATGGTCTCGTAGTCGGACAACTTCTGCACCTCAGACTTGATCTGAGAAGAGGACTTACAGCCACCGTCGTCAGAGTATGGCGAGTAGGTGATACCCTTGGCTGGGCCGCTGAAAGAGCCGGAGGAAGATGGCAAGGACACGGAGTCGGAGGAGGAAGCGGAAGGCTTGGAAGGAGCGGAGGCGCTCGAGGAGGAAGCGGAAGCAGAAGACTTACCGCCGCCAATGAGGTCGCCAATGATACCGGCGGCCTGGGCCTCGGCGGTGGTCTGGGGCTCCTCAGCAGCGGCCTCAGTTGGCTGTGGGGCACCAGCGGTCTGAGTCACGAAGACGGTGTTCCAGTTGGTGACAACAACAGCCTTCTTCTCGTGCTGGTGGTGCTGGTGGAGGGGCTGG